TATGATGTGGGGAAAAGTAAATGAAGGCATGAATGGAAGTATGTGACGGTCATTAAATGAAAACGAGCTTTTTCGATCCGACAGGATCAAAACATCCCATGGAGTGTCACGTGTTGGGTGAACATCTGCTGGGTAACGTTTGATGTATTGTATTATGTATGATGTGGAAAAAATAAATGAAGGCATGGATGGAAGGCAAGAGTGAATAAATGGGATAAAGAATGGATGGACGGATGAATGAACGAAAGGATGGATTGTGTGTGCTGTTTGATCTACACGAGTAAGAATAAAAGTGACTTTTTGGATTATTTAGACGTGAGAAATGTGCTGTATGACATGAAAGGTAGGGATGAATGGGAGGAATGTAATGGACGAACTGCATGGGATAAAAGAATAAATGACAAATGCATGGAAGAATGGATCTAGAAAACGATAGAAGGGCAGAGGGAGGAAGAGCTAGGGAGGAAACAGGGTCGGAACAAGGGAGACAGAGATGGATGGAAAGATAAAAGGCATGGATGGATAAATGAATAGGATGGAATGAAAGAATGGATGATAATTAGAAGGATGGATAATCCTGTAAAATCGATAAAAGTCGATCGTATACAGAGCAATATATCCAAGCACTCATTCGTGTGCCTTCAGTTCAACTAGCCAAAAAACAGCTTCAAAATATTCATATAATATCTCTTAGAACACCAGAACTCTTCCTAAAGATAAAACAAATTATCTTCACACATTGATCGCCACTGTAGCCTTAGCGCGCATGTACCTACGATATTCTAAATTCATCAAACTGAATTCGGAGCCAAGGACTGAGTATCCCAGATCACAGTATCAACTGTATTTACTTTCAATTAAATATCAACCACGCCCTATTTCTATTGTATGATGTCGGGCTTGAATTTCGATGGAAAACCTGTCCCGGGTTTTGAATTCAGCATTGGTATTAACAGGGGAGAGCGGGGCTGAATTCAAAACCCGGGAGAGGTTTTCCATCGAAATTCAAACCCTCCATCAAACATTTAAAATAGGGTTTGATTGTTTTTTAAACCAGTTAAGACACACGTGCTCGGATTTGCATTGAAATTCAACCATCGCCCTAGCGTTTTAACGTTTATATAATAACTAAGTTAAGAAAACCGTTCAGATGCGGATCCAGATAAAAACCTCGAACACGTACAATGTAATATCTAAGCACGCATCGAGTATAGGACTACAACAGATTATTAACTAAAGCCCCATAAGTCAGGATGCATGTCCACATGGCCCTTGAGATAAGTAAATATATATATATATATTTACAAGCACATGTCACACTGGGAGAAAAGCTCCAATCGGTTACAAGTACATCAAATAATTAGGCGCGGCTTAGAAAATGCCCTTGAACGTTTCCTTCCTACTTAGGAAAACGTTGTATTAAAAGGATATAGAGAATTCCAAGACTAAGGTGAGTCTTAACACTAAGGAGAAGACATTTAATGCTGCTTGTAGACGACAAACCCTTTTTAGTGCTCTTTCATGGGTATTTGCATGTTTGTGTTATGTTATTTTATATCCGGATATTTTTGAAAACGGATCTTTTTCTTTGCAGATTGGCCTTCTGTCCATACGTTTCCAGTAATTACGCCACTTGAAAACGCAACTTTTCGTAGACAGATACGTGTGGAATGGCAAAAACTATTCGAATACGCTACGTGTGAACTAAAAAAATTTAAAAATGGAATTTAAAAATGCGGTTTTTAAAAATATTCGAAACGGGTTAAACGGTTACAAGCATTGACTTGGAACTTATGAAATCCACTTTACAGTGCGACTACATCAACGAAGGCCACCCAACAGATGATTCTGGGTTTTAAACTGTATCTTGTTCACTTCTGATCATACACACACAAGTATAAAGTAAAATATGTATATCATTTTAAAAAGGGAAATGTGAAAATTTTCTACAGATTCTATTGTTTAAATACTCAATCGTGATTGGCTAATTTGTATGAAAATTTGTCTGAGTGGCCTTGGTTGGCCAGTGTAGTCGTACAGTAAGACTGGTGTGTGACAAAGCCATTGATTTTAATAGTTGAAAAACTGATTCATGCGCAGACACACGGTGCGACATTCCTCGAAATATTGCAGGCAAGGTTGCTGGAGTAGGATAGTTTTCTACTTCAACAACATATATTGCGTGCAACAAATTGCGTCATGTGTCATGCCTCGCGACTTCAGTTTCCTGCAACATTGCGAGGAATGTTACACCGTGTGTTCGTAGATTCAAAATCATAGCAACTTTATGGTTACAGGATATTGCGACTGAGTTTGGTCAGGGGAGATCAAAAATAGCACCATCGCCATTTAGTGCTCCCAAAAAAATTCAGTCCCACATTTAGGTCGTTCCCAGTCTCCAGCCTTCATAAAAGTGAAATTTTACCGCACGCGCGCTCTGGTACGAAACAAATTCAGAACTATGACATCACAGTAAAAATTAACGTTGCGCACTTCACGATTTCATTTTCTGTTCGTTTTCTAACTCGTTTTTCATCCACATTGATGTGTACGAAAAGGCCGTTCCCAGTCTCCAGCCTTCATAAAATTTAATTTTTTCCGCGCGCGCTCTGGTACAAAACAATAAATTGATCATTATGACATCATAGGAGACATTAACATTACTTGCTTCCACGATTTTATTTTCAGTTCATTTTCTGTTCGTTTTTTAAACCGATTTTCATTTACCTAATTTATCAAGGATTTGATTTAAAAACAAGCAATACCATCGTAAGATGAAAGGTTGAATATTATGGGATGCCTGACAAGATACAAATTCGTCATTGGTGTAAGTGTTGCCGGAAGTGGTGTTATTCTTTGGTATATCTACAACAAATACTTCAAGACTCCTCTTGTATGTTGCTTTGATAAATGCCTTTATAAAGACATTACTAACAACAATACTTTGATTGCTGAGAACTATTCGCCAGAGGTGCACATCCAACTAGGAGACAAAGAAACGTCCAACGAATATTCACTGAAGGATCTAGTAAAGCATAGTGTTGGACGATTCAAAACTAAAAACGCAAGAAAACCAACTGGTATCGTTATCGGAGACGAAGAATGTTACGATGTCTTCCAAGAAATTATCGATCCAGTGATCAAAGACCTTCACGCAGTCAACTGCTTTAGAAGGTACGAAAGCGTGCGGTTCAAGGACTGTGACTGGAGGAAAATTAAAGCAGGACGTATTGTGAACAAGAATGTTTTGTCTATTGTTCTGTCGACAAGCCGTAACATCGCAGGTTGTCGGTTTCCATGTTCGCTCAGCAACGAAGAACGAGTGGAGATTGCAAAGGAGCTTGTTGCTGTTTTGAACTGCCTTCCAGGTATTTATGCCTCGATAAATTCAAACTGTGAGCTCATATTTATGTGCGCAGAATATTGTAAGGTGTTGTGACATGTAAAACAAAATCGTGTAAGTTGAAGCCTTTTATATTCATCGATACCTTGAAAAAACTTATGGGCAGATAAAAGTCAGTGCACGGTTAACTCAAAGATTGGACCTTGAAAAACCTCTGGGCTGATCTAAGTCAGGGCACGGCTAACTCACAGATCAAACCCTGAAACAACCTCTGGGCTGATGTAAGTCAGTTCACGGCTAGCTCAAAGATTGAATTGGAGGGACGAAACCGGACAACTCGAAAACCCTCGAATCAAGTAAGAAACTGAATAAACTATCTACTCACAGAGAGAAATTTGTACGTACTACCCTGCACGCAACAAATATTTTGTGTTCCTTATGAAACCCCGCAGTACGATATGATACAATAAAAAGAAGAACTCTTGAGTGGTATCCATGCTATTTCTTTCACTAATATCCTACTGACGCTAAGGCTACATCATAAAACCCTCTTCATCCTAGCTACTATAAAAAAGACTAAAGGTAATTTATTATGCTTCGATAACGCGGGGAGTGGTTGCCCAATTCTCCCGAGCCGAGCGCTCATGTTTAATGCGCTCAAAGGTGCGCCCTCTACCCTCTCTTACTATCAGTGCTCCTTTTTACGGGTATTTGAAGCTAATTAAAGCTACACAGGACGGAGAGAAGTCGAAACAGACGTGGAGTTCCTGAGGATCGAACTATGGACCTCTAGCTCTGAAGGCCGCGCACTAACCAACTGAGCTACGCCTACTCCATCGAGACGATTTTTAGGCGACGACCATTCTCGTGCAATACTACCGCTAGGAAACAACAGTGTAGTGGTGCACCTCTTTTGCGCACTTTCCCAATTACGCCTAAGATTTTGTTTCTTTTCCAATCCATTAGCCCATCTTCACGGCGCCTACACTAGACTATGCAATCTATCAGGAAGAAGACAAGACAAGCTAGGACTGTCACAAGACTATGGTCTAAGTAGAACGATTGGACCATCACCGCTGCCCTGTGTACCAGAAAACCGCCCTCAGCTGAGCCATACTAATCTAAACTTATTTGAGAAGTGGAATTCTCCTGACGGGCGCGTCTTGTGGTGGACGGAGAACCGAAAATGTAAGGTTTTTATCAACTTTTTGGACCACATTAAATTCGTGATAAGTAACACAAATGGCGACCTACGACAGGCTGTGAGAGAATACATGGAAATACTTGCAGAAGTGGAACAAATATTGAAGCGAAAGCAACACAAGGAGTTTGCTTGGAGCTCGAAATATGGCTATTTGACCAGTGATTTGACAGACGTGGGTACAGGACTACATATTGAGGTTAAAATAAGGTTCAAAATGGTTCACAAGGTAATTAATATATTATTTGTATATTAACTTATTAATTTCCCTAATGTCTATCTGTTACCTGTTACCTAGCCTCCTCGCACCTCATGGCATTATAATAATATTATACAATATTATATAATCCAAAAATATTAATATTAATAATTAATAATAATAGTAATGATAATGATGGTGATGATGATGATGATGATGATGATGATTTTGTAATATTATGAAAACAATGAGATATAGATTGAATTTATTAGGCAATCGAAAATAGCGCACACTCAATTGACCAATTTCTATGCATTGGTTCAATGGTCACACACAAAGCATTCACTTGAGGCATCAAGGTAGTTTCAAAGGATTATTGAAATTTAAAAACCTTGCAGCCTTGAATCAATGCTTTGTGTTTGACCAGTGAACAGATTTATGGAAAGTAGTGAATACAAAAAAGTAATTGTGGCAATAAAAATACATATCAAATATTGATACATATGAAAATGCTATTATGTTCCAATACGAGGCTAGTCAGTCCAGGTCATATGAAGGGTAGTTAGCACTATTCCTTCAATAAATCCTTATCCAGGGGATAAGTTGATGCTGTCATCCAATAAATTTATCAACTGGATAGTGCTATTCGCTATACACCTTTTGCACAACCAGGCCCAGAACAATAGTTATTCAATTTGGTTCGGGCATATTTCAATTCAGTGTATATAATTACAAAAAAAAAAAAAAAGAAAAAAAAAAAGAATATATAGAATAACCGTTTTCACAAGCCCCTTCTCACCCACCCACGCACACATAAACACTCAAAAATTACAAATGCCAACACTGTAAAATAGAATTATAAAGGAAACGCCAATAAATATATATATAAATGTGGCGTGACCCTCTGTCACGCCATCAACAAGGGATTTAGTGCAGTCGCTTTTATAGATAAAAAGCAACAGTACGATTGGAAGGGTAGAATGTGGCTGTTTATACAATTGGAAAAAAGTGCATGGTAGGAAAGCCGGTTATTGACAACAACTGTTTTGTGCAACGCCGACACTTCTCGGTGAAACATGGAGCAAAATATGTAAACAAATGAATGAAACGACCATGTAAAAGTTAACTAAATAACGACATATAGCTATGATATCTGGTTACAATCAAATACTTACTCTTTAAACCAAAATTTCGGCGAAATAGCAAGAAAATGTCCCTTGAACATCCATGTTGAAGTCTTCTCTGTCATCCGCCATCTTGGAAATGCTTCTAGTACCCAGTCTTCTATCGTGATTTTATCATGTTGTAAGAATAGACGAAGAATGGGTACTAAGAGGTTTCGGAAGAGATTAAAATGAAGAAATGGAAAAAAGTGATTAATTTTTTATTATGTCAATAAGCTGCCGGAAAAAAGAGATTTTTAGAGAAGTATTTGGTCAATAAAAAACGTACTTTTCATAATTAAATTTGTGTCAGAAAACGTATTAAGAAGATAATACCCTTAGGATCGACCCTTCAACACTTAAAAAGATAATGCTGTTTTAAATAAGAGAAGAAATATTATTAGCCGAGTATTGTTGTACACATCTTTGCCTGACATCTGTCTATTATTATCATTTCCCTTGTGAAAGGAGTATGTAAGAGTTGATAAGTAAAGTCTTTATTCTTTAGGCAAACCACTTTATAGTTGTTTTATAATCGGCTTATTTTTGACCAAAAAACTCGATATTCTAGAAACATTAAAGGGACATTTTACCACTACATGTTAAGGAGCTTTTTTTAAGCTGACGTTTTGGTGCACCACAGAATGGTTAGGCGCACCAAGTCATGTGCTCTGGTCGTAAGACATGAAAGCTTTCTTGACATTAAAGCTTTACGTGGCTTTGGTATTAGTTACGAGGGGTCTAGGGATAAGTGTGATGTTCACAGTTCAGTGTATGTACCATTTCCTTGGTTATTTTTTCAGTATTCATTTCTTTGATTTGACTTTCACACTATTTTATGACTAAATCCAGGATTTCACTCTCAGAGGTGATAGGTACTGAATAGCCCTAACCTCCCCCTCTAAATTGGGTCCCGTTAAATGAAAAGGTTATGAAATGTTTTGACTTCATTGTCAATCATACTAAATAATATTATCATTCAAATTATTTTTCCGTCGTTTTGATTGACCGAGATGACTACAAATAACTGCCTGCAAATGATAATTTGCTCATGCGCATTACGGTGCAAAGCCGTTTTGCTGCAAAATACACTCTGCTCATGCGTAGTAACGTTGCAATAACAATATGGCTGAGTTGGTTGCAAGGAGAAAACGAGAGAAAATTGAATGATAATTGAAACAACTATTGAACTCGCCACTAACAAATCACGATGTTTTGCGAATAACGAGCCCCAATAATTTCTTAGTATTGTAAGATGTTAGAACTAATATCGGAATTCTCTTCCAGACCGAGTTTTTCAATCGCCTGATGGTCACGAAACAATTGAATTGCAGTCAGTGCGGTGAGTAAAATATCGAAATTAAGTATTACCTTTTGTGACATTTTGTGTCAGAAGAATAGAAAAGTGGAGAATAGTGGAAGAATGTTTGACTTATGAGGAAGAAGAATAGAGCTAAGCCGGTACTGGTAGTAGATGAAAGTGAGGTGGTTAGAGTTGAAAAGATACTTTTAGCTTGGACGTTATTTTATCCCATTTCAGACCACGTGTCATTCTATTGAGAATAAGGTTTCTTTATTGAGCGTCATCAATAATCATGTGTGTCTTTTCATTCGAAGCCGTGAAAAAAAGAAATGATACTCTAAGGAATGACACGTGGTCTGAAATGGGAAACCAAAGGATGGGATTGGAATGTCATTTTTCCATTTTGGAAGGGACTTTAAATTCTTATCAATATAGCTCAATCAAACATGAAGTATTTCTTCAAAACTCAAGCTAAGTTGTGATGGATTTTAAAATTCATGATTTTAAAAATATATCTTTTGGCTTGAAATACGGGACGCATTTTTTTTTTTTTTTTTTTTTTTTTTTTTTTTTTTTTTTTTTTTTTTAGCTTATCAGAAATAACTATAAAAGACCTTTTCTGTGATCTATTCTGTGAAATGTTTATCTCTATATCTGACATCTATTCACTCGGTGTGGTCATTCCTCACAGTGTTTCACTTTTCACTTTATCATTGCGCTGCTACGATCCGTTGGGGGGAGGGGGAGTGGGAGGGGGGCAGACGCGCCATCATATCTGAATAGAGTCGCTTGTTATAGTTCTCTCCTGTGCTTCGAGGGTTTTTTTCCTGGTTCTCTGGTTTTCCTCCCTCCGTATAAATTAATTCGTAAATTCTAATTCTGAGCCATTCTTTTCGTATTTCACCTCCCCTTACATGTCATTCATTTGCTATATTTGCCTTATCTTGTATTGCTTTTTCTACAGTGGATGAAAAAAACACAGACACGTTTATCATCACCAATAAAAATCTGATAGGAACTACAGAGGTAAATGACAATCCGCTATATTTTTAGCTTTTTTAATATTTAAATAGCTCAAAAAAGTCAAAATCGAATATCAATGAAGAACGGAGATAATATAGTTGATTTAAAAAAAGATCAATGATATAGCATCTTCTTTTACACAGCGTGAATTTTTTTGACTGTTTTCATCTTTTAGCATGATTTACATAATACTTTTATTCTCCGCTTTCTTATCATGCATGTGTTGCGCACTTTAACTCTTCCTGTCATGATCTTTTTTTTGCCTTGGGGACGTAAAATCAATAGCGCAGCGCAACTGTGACGTCATAAAAACGAAGACCAAGGCGAAATTCGGACAAACAAACTTACAAGTTTACTTTCAGCAGATAATTTTCACAGCCGATCGCAGTTAGTCTTAGTTTACATGGGTTATTATTGTAATTTTAAGTAAAAATTAATAAAATCGGTTCGTATAATCCTCGTTGCGGTTAAACAGAATGCAATGCTTCTCCGAATCTTTAAGCTATTTTTAGAATCAGTGCGCTGCGCTATTCAAAAAATACTCGCAAGAATACACAGACTCACTTCATGATTTTAGCAAGTAATAACATCTATATTTTTATATGCACTTTGTCTAATATTTTATTCATTTTATTACAAAAAGCATAAGAAATACTGTGTTGCGCATCCTTATTCGTCTTGTTCGTTATGTTCCGATGAGTTTCCGATTTTTAGGCGCGCGGCTTCCCTTGTTTCTGCTTGCCCCAAGACTTTCAAAAGAAAATAAAAACTGCTCGTCAGAATACGTATGAACAGCATCGATGCATAATTTTTCACAGATTTTTCATATGCATTCACAAATATTTAACAATTATTCGCCGAAGGCGAAGAGAATATCGGGGAATATTTACCGAGACGCGAGTCTTGGAGCGGCGAGATCAATATCCCTCGATATTGACTGAACCTGAGGCGAATAATAATCGTTTTAGTATTTTTAGCACAAGTGAATTTAATATATAAAGGAAAGTGAGGTATTTCTTGTTCAAATTCTATTTATCTCTGCAAGCGGCATAAATCAAAAAAAAAGCACCTGTAGGTGAATATATCAGCATAAGACGTAAATTATGACCAATGAGCGAGCCGGATTTTTCTTTTCTTTTTGATGTGCGAGCCGGATTTAATTTATTAACTTCTGTAAAGATACTAAATTATTTCACAAGCATTGAACATAAATAGAAAATCTATCTATTGACAGCGTGTTAGTTGATATGACTTGTAATATTGAAGTCACATCCCAATCAATTCTTGAATAAAGCCGTGATTATTAAAACGATGACTTCCTTGTGATGTTCTTTACTGAAGTCTCAAAAGATGATCTTGTATTTACCCCAAGACCTTCAAAGGAAATTAAAAACGGCTAAATACTACAAAATTATTTTACAAGCATTGAACATAAATAGAAAATCAATTGACAACGCGTTATTTATGCCTCGTAATATTGAAGATCATATCCCAATCAATTCTCGAGTAAAGCCGAGATTATTGAATCGAAAAGAAGATAATGATCTTGATTATAATGTCACAATATGTTCCCTCAAGAAGGATAAACATTAATGCGTTTTTAAAGAGCCAACCTGTCGCTATTTCTGGGACTCGATATTTCATTTCGTTTACACGAAGCACAGCTCGTAGGAGTGTGAAAAACCACAATGCGCAAAGGGCAGTAGACCGTTTTCTCAACATTGCGTGCGCATCCAACTTGATGGGCCACAAAATTGAAAAATGCAAATTCAGCTAAATTAAGAAGCCAGTTTTATATTTAAAAAGGAAAATAATCAATTTTATAAATTCTTATTGAAAAATGTTGATTATAGGAACATATGGTAATTCTCATTATAAAGCTCCTGTTCTGGTATCGTGCCCCGTCAAGTTCCTTAAATTTGGATGCGCGCGCAACCTCGAGAAAAAGGTCTGTTAAGGAATTGTATTTCTGCAAATTAATATCTATATTCATTTTGAGATTTGAAATAATCTTCATTTTGAGATGTTTGAAGTAATACTGCATCTTATCATTTTTGGTCCATTATTCTATTTTTACTTAGAAATCTTTATTTTTTACAGTAGTGTAGGCCATTCAGCTCAAGGCTGATATTCAAAGGGGCTCTGCCGAAATACATTACATACACTACACGATATAAGATATGACATTTATAAAATGATTATTACATCTAAAGCTATTATATCGATAGTCAAAATTGCTTTTAAGGGAGAAGTGAAAGAAAATTTGCGGATTGTAAGTGAGTACGAAGTTTAGGTGGTCTTTTAAATAAACAATACTTTGAACTCGTATGTTTTTATGCGATTACTCTTTTCCCTAAAGGATTATCATGCTAATTCTTGTTATGTCTGCATAGCCAAATATTTCCTATTGTAGTACCGCTGTAATATAAAGACAGTGAATATCTCTCGGGAGTGTTAAAGGGGGAGAGGTTGGGGCTTCAGTAGGGAGGAGTCATTATTAATTTTTTTTTTTTTTTTTTTTTTTTTTACGAATTTTTTTTTTTTTTTTTTTTTTTTTTTTCTTTTTAT